ATCGAGCCCAGATTTCACGATCTGAGAAGCGTCGATTTCAAAGTGATTTGGCGCGAACCCACGCAACCCACCTAACCTGTTGAAGCCTATGCATAGAAAACGCGATGGGTTCGATTCCGTAAAAAAAACATTGCGGGGGATGGGGGATGGGGGGGGGGTATTAGGTGAGAGAACGGTGATGCAACTTCGAGCCTTCGAAGGGAACAGTTGCAAGGTATGCAACACTGCCGACTCTATCATGCTAAAGTGTGCCGTACAGCTTCCGATTATGTCCCCCCCTCCCCCCCCCTTTGTTTGTTTCTATCCTCATAAATTGCATTTGTCAAGGTTAGAATTTAGTGGCTATTTCTCCGACAAGCCCCCGGCTTCCTGTCCTTGTCGAGACCACTAGAGAAATGGTGGCCTTCAGGTAAATTCAGGTACATATATATATATATATATATATATATATATATATATATATATATATATATATATATATATATATATACATATATATATATATATATATATATATATATATATATATATATATATATATATATATATATATATATATATATATATATATATATATATATATATATATATATATATATATATATATATATGTATACCCTGGCGACTGATTGAACTGTGAGCTGATATCACTGCTGCCTGACACCTCAGCTGACATCCCTAGCGACTGACGACACTCTCACATACACCCTGTAGCCTTGCATTACAAAAAATGGAGACATCGTAGACTGCTACAGCGAGTCTACGATGTCCTCGTATGTCCTACGAGTCCCACCTGGCAGGACATACGAGGGTCAAGGCCCCCCCCCCCCTAAAGCTGCGGGACCTGGCCCGCGCCGGGAGAAGACATACGACATATTCACAGCCCCATCAGAGATCCTTCCAAAAGATGTCCGGCATTTTTCCTGCATTGATTCCTGTAGAATTATTGCCATCGGTGTTGCCAGCTGGAGAGTTGGTTTTTATTGTGTCCCGGACAGGTGGCCAGATATTGGAAGAGTCTTGATTTATGTGACGCCATCATTCACCTGCACAACTCCCAGACTCGAACCCCGTCTGGCTCAGGGCTTTGATTCACCAAAAGACCCGGAGAAAATGCCTATTGTTATATATGAAAAAAATTGATATGTGATGAAATTGTCATGCTCGAATGATGGCTCATAATACTATAAAATAGTATTTTTTCTTCTACTAAGAGTATGAGAAGATTTTGTTTATATCTGAGAAAATTTGATGTGTGATGAAATTGTCATGCTCGAATGATGGCTCATAATACTATAAAATAGTATTTTTTCTTCTACTAAGAGTATGAGAAGATTTTTTTTATATCTGAGAAAATTTGATGTGTGATGAAATTGGCATGCTCGAATGATGGCTCATAATACTATAAAATAGTATTTTTTCATCTACTAAGAGTATATGCAGATTAAATTTATGTTAGTGGCCGAGACGATTGTGGATCTACAGTTCTTCACGTGGAGGTGAATGGAAGGATGTATTGGGTGACATAACTGACGTAGGATCCCTGGATTGTTTCAAGCGTAGGTTAGACATGTATATGAATGGGTTTGGTTGGACAAACATAAGAGCAGCGTCTTGTGGGCCAATGAGCCTGCTGCAGTGTCTTCTGTTCCAGTGTTCTTATCTTCGCTTGTTCTTACGTTCTTATCTAAATCCGCAAAAGAACGTGAAAGCGCTTTTTTGTTTCACTTTTCCTTCTTTATAGTAAATTTTCCCATTATTCATCAAGTGTTAATTGTTCGCTGGGATCCGCACACACACACACACACACACACACACACACACACACACACACGTCTCAAAGTTTCTTTCACCCTGAATGCCCCTGTTACCTAGCAGTAAATAGGTACCTTGGAGTTAGTCAGCTGTCACGGGCTGCTTCCTGGGGTGTGTGTGTGTGTGTGTGGTTTGGAAAAAAAAAGTAGTTAGTAAACAGTTGATTGACAGTTGAGAGGGGGGCCGAAAGAGCAAAAGCTCCCCCCCCCCTTCCAACACAACTAGGTGAACACAACTAGAATACACACACAAACACACACATACATGTAGACATGCGTCACTGGGTGACTTAATTAATCACTTCACTGACAGATCGCGCTGAAATTTGTCCCCCCTATAGATACGAGGCGCGGGGCTGGTCTGTTATTTTAATTAAATTTTTTTCACTCATTGATTAAATATATCGAGAGGGGGGGGGGGAGGGGAAGTAGCTATAGCAGTACATGTGAAAATGTCACTGACCCTTCCAGTAAATAGGAAACGGACACTGACCCCCTTGAAATACACGTGAAACGGGCATTGACCCCTTGAAACACACGTGAAACGGAAATTGACCTCTTGAAATACACGTGAAACTGGCACTGACCATCTTGAAACACACGTGAAACTGGCACTGACCCCTTGAAACACACGTGAAACTGGCACTGACCCCTTGAAACACACGTGAAACTGGCACTGACCCCTTGAAACACACGTGAAACTGGCACTGACCCCTTGAAACACACGTGAAACGGGCACTGACCGCCTTGAAACACACGTGAAACTGGCACTGACCCCTTGAAACACACGTGAAACGGGCATTTACCCTTTCAGAAAACAGGAATGGATATCAGTACCCCATCAGAACTCTTGAAAAATTCATATACCCTTTCCACAAAAAAAAATAATTAAACCAGTATGGACCATTTCAATTCCCTTAAAACGAGCACTTGCCCATCTGTAATTATCATCCCGGAGAGATCTGGCGTTTCAACAACATCTAACAATTCAATTTAACTCCTTATAACAAAGTCTATTTGTAAAGTCTACATATAGACTTAATAATAAATATATGCCTTCATATAAACTTTCTAAATAATAATTCTTCAAAACATACTTTCTAAATCATTAATCTTCAAATAGACTTTCTAAATAATTAATATTCAAATAGGCTTTCTATATAATTAATCTTCAAATAGACTTTACAAGTAATAAGACTAATTTAAATTAAAAGCTAATCTCTGAAAGTACTTAAAAGATAAAAGACTTTATAACAAATTAGTACACGTATATACATAGACTTAAAACTAATAAAGTCTAAATATAAACTGTTTACCTAATAAATATGGCAGCATAAAGGCCTTATTATTCTTAAGTTTACATATAGGCTACATGTAACATGTGTTTCCGTAGCCACCATACGCACATAGAATTATATCGTCACATTATCTCATAACTTCACAAATAAACATTTTAGGCTACGTATCGAGGAAACGGAAAATGCGAACGTGTTCAAATATGTCTGAAAGTGCTTTAACAAATTTAGTGAAAATAGTCTCTAAACTCCCTCAAAGAAGGTAGTTTAGAGGCTATTTTCATGTCTAAAATCATGTCTAGAAATCATGGAGGGTCATGTCTAAAAATCATGGAGGGTCATGTCTAAAAATCATGGAGGGTCATGTCTAAAAATCTTCCAAAAACAAATCTTAAATATGAGATTTGAATCTCAGGAAACCGTTACATCATTCAAATTTGAATTTGAACTTCGGCGATACAGTAACGTTCTTACGAGAAGCGTTAAGAGTTTCTTTGAGGCAATCGTTAGCGATCTTAGTGGTCAAGCAGCACTTAGTTACGGATGCCTGATAAGCTTAGTGGTGAATGAAGAAGCTTACTGGACCTTATGCAATAACATTGGACTTGATGGAATGACACTGGAATGAAGACAATGGATTTACTTACGTATGTTGTAGGTGTTGACCAAGGCCGAGACGGCAGTCGATTTCTTTCACGCGCTGTCGATTTCTTTCACTCACTGCGCCGATTTATTTCACTCGCCGCCGATTTATTTCAATCGCTGCCGATTTATTTCACTCGCCGCCGATTTATTTCACTCGCTGCCGATTTCTTTCACTCGCTGTCGATTTCTTTCACTCGCTGTCGATTTCTTTCACTCGCTGTCGATTTCTTTCACTCGCTGTCGATTTCTTTCACTCGCTGTCGATTTCTTTCACTCGCTGTCGATTTCTTTCACTCGCTGTCGATTTATTTCACTCGCCGCCAAATTTATTTCACTCGCTGTCGATTTCTTTCACACGATGAAATCTGAACTTTTTTTTGTCTTTTCTCAAACTATTATATTTTTGGTTGTAACAACAACAACAACAAAAACACACACATGCAACATTTTTGTTTCTTTTCACAAAATATTTATTATTAATGACTAAAAAATTTGGCACTTTTTTCTTGTTTTTTTTTAATTTTATTTCGCTATTTTCATATATAAAGCACATTAATATGTGTTCAATGATGTGGTTAATGAAGGTCATTAATGCAAGGTCCTGTTTACACTGGTCATTGATGTATGCAAGGTCCTGTTTAGACTGGTCATTGATGTATGCAAGATCCTGTTTAGACTGGTCATTGATGTATCCATGGTCCTGTTTACACTGCTCATTGATGTATACAAAGTCTGTTGACAGTAGTAGTAATTGTTGCATCGCTGGGTCCTGTTTAAACAAGTCACTGGCGCACCGAAGGTCCTGTTTACACTAGTGACTGATGTACAACAGGTCCTGTTTAAAAGCCATTGGTGTTCCCGATGGGTCGCATTAAACAAATGTTATATAATTTATATCAGAAGTTCCGTTGACACGACGCACTTTTCAACAAATAAAAACACTTGAACGCACGCGGGCAATTAGTTCCAAATTGGTTCAGGTGAAATAAATTACCACTGTGAAGGCCACTGTAGGTGGGGGGGGGGCACGTACCCATTGGCCAGGGGGGCAGGGCACGTACCCACTGGTCATGGGGGGCACGTACCCACTGGTCATGGGGGGGCACGTACCCACTGGTCATGGGGGGGCACGTACCCACTGGTCATGGGGGGGCACGTACCCACTGGTCATGGGGGGGGGCACGTACCCACTGGTCATGGGGGGGCACGTACCCACTGGCCAGGGCAGGGCACGTACCCACTGGCCAGGGCAGGGCACGTACCCACTGGCCATGGGGCGGGCACGTACCCACTGGCCTACTGGTGACCCCACTGACAAGAATGGCGTCAAGCAGGAGGGGACGTAAAGGCCGCTCCTGACACCCTCCGGCCGTGACAACAACGGCCTAACTGAGCAGTTTCGGACTTGTTAACTGACTACACCTGCCTCACCTCCTCACTCTTGCCGCCTAACGAGCAGGATTTTTATGGGGGGGGGAAACTTACTCATTTGATTATAATTTCAACTCGATAACAAATAATATATTTAGTTTATTCCCTAAATTCCAAAAATTCACTTCATATACACATATGTTGTTCAAAATGAAAACTACAGTGTCGATCTATTAAGGAAAATGGAATAAATTGGGCAATAGAGATTTAAACCAAGTGGACGAACTGCAAAAGAAAAAAAAATTACGAATGTTACTGAAAATAATATTATAACCGTTAACGTGGACATTAAACAAAATCTGTTTAAGTGCAACTTTAAAAATAAACTTATAAAATATATTAACACAAATATAAGCGAAATTAAACCACATATTCTAGTGATATACTAAAATAAATTAAAACATATATTATTACACATTTTGCCTTTAGGGTTGAGAATAAATTTTTAAATTAGCTTATATTTTATATATTAAAATGGTTTGATTAATATTATATTAATATCAATATATATAATATTAAACAAAATTAAAATATTAAAAAACTATATAATAATATTTAGTTTGATCCATATAATATTAATATCAACGAGCGGGAAACCTGATTTGATAACAAAGTCCATTACGGGATCACCATCTTCTTGAGGTTATCTTGAGATGATTTAGGGGCTTTTTAGTGTCCCCGCGGCCCGGTCCTCGACCAGGCCTCCACCCCCAGGAAGCAGCCCGTGACAGCTGACTAACACCCAGGTACCTATTTTACTGCTAGGTAACAGGGGCATAGGGTGAAAGAAACTCTGCCCATTGTTTCTCGTCGGCGCCTGGGATCGACCACAGGATCACAAGTCCAGCGTGCTGTCCGCTCGGCCGATCGGCTCTCTCGACCATAGCTCGTGCTACTTGCAACGTTAGTTTAAGAGTTGCTGAATCTCTAACAACATGTTAGATAATTCGCCTTAGGCTTTTCAACTATGAATTTAATTAGGTTTTATGCAACTTGCATCTAATGGGTTGTTGGGCACCTACAGGACATACCACCTACAGGACACACCTGCAGGACACACACCACCTACAGGACACACCTGCAGGACACACCACCTACAGGACACACCTGCAGGACACACACCACCTACAGGACACACCTACAGGACACACCTGCAGGACACACACCACCTACAGAACACACCACCAGGCTCCACCACCTACAGGACACACCTGCAGGACACACACCACCTACAGGACACACCTGCAGGCTCCATCACCTACAGGACACACCTGCAGGACACCATAAGACAGTCTCATAACCCGAGGAGCGGCTCCTGGAGGCCAAGATTGTCATCCTTGTGGCCGCGGAGACCCTCCTGGTCGCCCTCCAAAGTGTCAATCAACAGGACACATTACCCAACGTGTGGCGGTCCGGGGCTGTAAGTCACTCTCTATTGCATTCTCAAGACCTTGCAATGAGACGGTTGCAAGAGCTTACCGTCAACAAACGCGGGATCCCGTTCATCAGACACTGGCTCAGCAACACAGACTGACCTGATGTTCCTTACTCCAGGAGTGGTTCTTAGGAGAAAGGGGGGAAAGAGACCTGAGCGCCGCCGGGTATCCACCCCTAGTGTAATTTATAACAGAAAATGTGTTTTTTTACACTCCAAAACAGAGTGATAAGGACAATTTTCTTAGGGAAAAAGGGAGATTTCCGACGACGAGGCCATAAAGATGGCGGGGACACAGATGACTCCAG